CGATCATTACATTTTGTGTGCAGTCCAGATTTGTGCCTACATCCGTAATGGCCCATAAGCAGAAATTGGCCAACAAGTGGTTTGGTCAATCCAACCCAAACTACGAAATTCACCAAGTCACTTCGATCAGATTTTACTAGTGATGTAAGTGGGTGATAGATCAACTTCATTTCAGTTAGACATACGAACAACATTCTGAAACCCATTAGAAAATACTTGGGCATCAGGCACTTCTCTCTTGAAGAATTTGGTTTTGAGGAGGTAAAAAGTATGTCTGTCAAAATCTCTTTAACAATCTGCTTTCTCCATCAGTGACAATCGAGTCAGCATTTGGATTCTGTCCCCAGTGTTCTTTAAAAGGCAATAGAAATAGCAATAAAGCAAATAAAGATGGGAAAAATAGACACACTACATGAGGCAAACACATGACAAGGTCATGCAGGGAAGGAGGGAATAATTTTGATATTTAAAAGAGAGGAGGATACCAAACCCTTTGAATCGACAACTACTAACTACCTAGAGGAAAAAGCAGCCACATCACTTATTATTGACACACATGCCTAATCGCCTATCTCTACAAAGTCTTTTTGAGCAATCTCCTCCCATATGATGATGAAGGTATGAGGAGGTAACAGACAGGATCTCCAAAATGCCCTCACACACATTTACAGTCACACTATTCACTCTAAGGTGTGCGAAGAATGTTTTAAAAATCTGGCAGCAGTTAGTATTTGTTGACTATACAAAACAGGCTTGGGAGAAGGCTAGAGAAAAGCACCACCTCCTCTCTAACAGGGTGACTTCCACTCATTGTTAAGAAGAACAGCATTTCTACAGCATTGTAAGGTTAGCAAATCTCCTCTATAAATATTGCCTTATTATGTCCTCAAGACAATGCTGTGTAATGGTGGACTCTCCTTGAATATCTGGTATAAGTTCTTCTTGGTCATTGTGAATATTTATTTTATATAATGTTGTAGTTTTTAAAAATAGGATATTAAACTTTTGTGCTAATATTCATTAAAAAAGGCAATCCTGTGACATGGGTGCTATTGTTAGCCTCATTTACAAATGAAGAAACTAAGGCAGACAGAGGTTAAGCATCTTGTCCAGGTAGTGAGTGTCTGAGGCTGGTCTTCCTGACTCTGGATTAGCCTAAATGAACTCTCAGTTCCTTTCCAGCTCTAAAGCTATGTTCTTTTGGTCCTACGTAACACAGAAATAAGTTAATTTAACCACCTTTTGGTTATTAATAGCAAATGAAGCCTAAAATGGCAAAAGGAATGATCACTAGAAAGTGTTTGCTGTTGCGATGGAGGGGGACACCATGCAAAACCCAAATGGAAATGGGGCTCCTACCAAGTGCAGTGAGGTCCTCTCAGTTCACCTGTGAGTGAGAACATTGTGCCTCTTCCAAACTCAAAAGAATTTGGCCTAAATGTACTCAAAGGAAAAAAAAAAGCAGCAGATGAAGTCCTGTTGTCTAAACTCCATTTTGCAGTTGGACGAACATCCACCAAAGAGCTCCTTTAGTCTACATAGCTTAAAAAGATGATACAGATCATCTAAAACTGGGATCAGAACTGAATGGGAGAAAGACAACAGGCTGCCCTGTTCTTGGGAAACTATGCTGCACTTTACTGTAAATAACCCTTTTCCTTGAAGAAATAAAAAGACCCATCTTCTCACTGGATGACTGTATGGCCACAACATCTGGCTGACCATGTGTCCTTCTCCAAATCTGGGGCACTCCTCCCACTCTCCACAGCCTATTCTCTATGGCCTTCCAGTGATCAGTCCAGGCACTTAACAAATCCTTGTGGATGGACTGAGTGATAATAGTCGAGCCATCACATCTGCCTGCTCTGTCTCTACTCTCAGATACATTTCTGTTCTAGAGTCTTGGACTCCCCCAAGGCAGCTACTAGATAGTTGCTTGTTAGCTCCTCACTAATGTTGGGGATCCACTCTCTCTTAGTCAATTCTAATCTATCCTTTCCAGTGCAATAACTCTCCTTCATGGGGAAAACAGATGGACAGCATGGAGGTGCTCTGCCTTCTCAACATCCCACATGCCTTAAAGCAGCCAGTCATTATTTTGTTGTAAATCCTTTTTTCTCCCAACATAATAAAATCACCTTTCTCACTGTAGTGAACCTTAGTTTACCAAATACTCTGAAGTTTGTGCAGTTTTTTTTTCTGAGCTGTCCCACTCCTGATGCTATTCAGTCTCCGCCCTCTTTGCTTCCATTTTCAGTTTGCTTTGTGAAATCTATGCTTATAGATTCCATATATCACTCCCTTTAGACAACTCCCCTTTTACTCCTTATCAGAATTGGTGTTATGTCTTCCCATTCTCATTATAAAGAGCTTCTAATCTCTCCTGGGTTAAATTTCACTATAGAATTTTAGGCTGTGGAATCCTACCTAGACCTTCTCTGAACCCCTGAAGGTTTCTTGTCCTGAAATCTAGGCTTCATCCTGAGATATCCCTGGTTTTATGTTTTCTTTATCACAGATTTCACTGGAGAGTAATCACTCTCCATGGCAGATTTGAATGTCTCCCACCCCAGAAGCCAGGCCCTCCTTGTCAGGGAAAATGAAGGGCAGAGGAGAAATTCCTCTCATTTGTTCCTCCACCTTTTGAAGAATGAAACTATCATATAAACAAGTCAGGAATTTTTCAGCTTCTCTGCTCTTGAGAAACATGTATCTCCAGCCGATTCCTGGGTAATTGCTGTCTATTATCATTGCTATATTATGTATCCAGGCCAAGTTTGTGATCTTTTCTCTGAATTACTTATCTATTCCCTCTTCCCAGACTGGTGGTAAGTCATGTACTTGGAGGCAACATCATTTCTACCTCTGTGTACAAGACTTTGACTCAAAATTCTTTACCATGATTTCTTGGAGAAAGAAACAGACAGAGGGAGGGAGAGAGACAGAGAGAGAGAGAAGAAGAAGAGGAGGAGGAGGAGGAGGAGAGAGAGATGGGGGAGAGGAGAGAGAGAGAGAGAGAGAGAGAGAGAGAGAGAGAGAGAGAGAGGAGAGAGAGAGAGAGAGAGAGAAGAGAGAGAGAGAGAGAGAGGAGAGAGAGGAGAGAGAGAGAGAGAGAGGAGAGAGAGAGAGAGAGAGAGAGAGAGAGAGAGAGAGAGAGAGAGAGAGAGAGAGAGAGAGAGAGAGAGAGAGAGTGAATTATTTAGAGCCATGAATTTGTGGATGATTTCTTTCTTGGATTTTGTCTCCTGTGAATTTGTAGAGGTTTCCTTCCAGTATTCCTACATTTGTTACTGTCTATGGTTTCCTTGTTTGGCGGATACATGCAGGCAATATTGTCCTCCCCACCTATCCCCAAGCCTTCTCACTTCATTCTCAGCAGAAATTGGGTTTCACTGTTTTTGTTTTTAGGAAATCAACAAATGAGCTGAAGAGTATTGAGAGGAGGGTAAAATAAAGGGCATCAAGACCACGCCACCCTAGGAGCATCAAAGGAGCGGGACATCTGGTCGGTAGAGAAGAGAAGGAGAGCCGCGACCAGTCTTTGATGGACTTCGAGGAAGTGCGATGGGTGCAAGAGACAAAGAGCCTTCGATTTGATTTCAGAGGGGAAGATGCTCGCTAGAAGCAGAGGAGGATGCACAGGAAGGTCATGGAGTCTCCCTCCCCGAAGGTCACTGAACAAAGGGGGGTGACCATTTGTCATAGAGGAGGGCATGGTCTGGCCCGGCCAGCTACTGAGGTCCCTTCAATGCTGGAGGGTTCCCTGTTGCTCTGAGGACATTCATTCTGCATTACTTCACAGAGTGCAAGCACCTGGGCCAAGCCATGCAGGGTACAGTAAGGTGGAAAAGGATTTGTGACACTTACAGCCCTCCAAGAGCTCACCAGAACACAATGAGTTCCCTGTGCTTGCCAGTACCCAGGGCCAGGGTCACCATATCACAAGGATTTTCTACCAAGGGCCCTAATATTGGGACGTAAGCCACTCCATACAATCTAAGGTTCCTCATGAGGAGTCACGAGAAGACCAGTTGATTGGTGTGGAACATGAAGTGTGAGGAGGGGCCTAACAGGAGATGGGTCTGGAAGGGTAATTCTGAGTCCCATTGGGAAGAGTTGTAAACACCTTTCCAACCCTAAAAACTGATTTTTAAAAAATTGATAGCTTACACTTATGCAACTCCTCTTTGTACCGTGATTGCTCTCACAATTCTGGGGAGGGATTGGTATAAGTTGCACAAATATGAGCTCCATTTAACAGATGAGTAAACTGAGGTTAAGTGATTTTCCTGTAATCAACCAGCCAGTTAGCACTATGCTGTATTTGAACCCATGACTCATGATTCTAAGTCCATTTCTCTTTTAGCTGTGCCAGGCTATTTACAAACCATTGGTTATATTCACTTATACCATTACCCCGTGATGAGCTATTTCAAATTAGAAGCAATCAATATATAAGCCACAATACCTTATCTAATTCATCTCCCTGGTTTCTAAGTAAGACTCTGCCCAGAAATTCTAGCCACATGTCTGTCTAATCCATTAATACAGATGAATTATTGATTGGTTCAATTTACATGGGATAGTTCCTAAGAACCTATAAAGAAGTAATTTTACTTTTGGTCAGAAGTATCAAAAATAAGGGGCAGCTAGATGGCGCAGTGGATAGAGCACCGGCCCTGAAGTCAGAAGGACCTGAGTTCAAATCTGGCCTCAGACCAAACACTTGACACATACTAGCTGTATGACCCTGGGCAAGTCACTTAACCCCAAATGCCCCCCCCCCAAAAAAAAGTATCAGAAATAGGAAAATAACATATATGTGTTAAGAATAAAGAAGTAATTTTACTTTTGGTCAGAAGTATCAAAAATAGGAAAATAACATATATGTGTTAAGAATAAAGAAGCAATTTTACTTTTGGTCAGAATATCAAAAATAGGAAAATAACATATATGTGTTAAGAATTAAGCTGTCACATCCTGTGTTTAAAAAAACTAACCTTGTTTGTCATCTTCCAAGTCATTGTCTGAGCACCCATCAATTTTGTATTTCATATAATCAGAGGTTTCTCGTATTTCCTGGAATGAGGTTTCACTCTCCTTTTCATGGTCTAAATTATCTTTTTCATCATCTGAGGGTGACTTTGACCTTCCTTTCATTTGATCATCAGTCTGTCCATCTTCATTAACTTTCTCATTTGATTTCTCGTCATCGACTTCAAAATCTTCATCATAGTCTGAGGAAAGAAAGCCTCTGCTTTAAGGCTGCAAATAGAATCCCTCACACTTAACCTATTCCAATTTAATGAGGGTTCTGACTTCATTAGTTCCTGTTTCTCTTTGCCTTTATCCACTTCTCTTTCACACAATTAGCGGACACAGGAGAAACTGTGTGGAGCTAACAACAAATGATGGGTGATTGCAATCTAATACATAGACCCCAGTAGAGAAAAGAGAAAGCCCCGCACCAAAATCTGCAGCAGACAGAGAGTTCATTTTGAAATGGACATAGCCCATTACAATGAATAAAGAGGACAAAGGAAGGCAATGATAGGGAAAAATAAATGAGAGAGAAATTAAAAATGAAGAGAACAGACTCATAATAATAAAAGTTAATTTGGAAGCTGAGCAACAGAGTACTTTGCATGAAAGATGATCAAAATATTTGGATATCAAACTAATGAATACTGAAGTGGAAAAATTCAATTAATCAGGTCTAAAGGCACTAGGGAGGAATGTGGCGAATATTATCTATTCTTTGAGAAATAAGTGGACAGCAAAAAGAAAAAAAAAAGGAATTAGGACGTATATCTCATTCAGAGTGAAAATCCTTCCCATTATCTATCCCTCCAACAAATCAAATAATTACATTTCCAAGCTGGACCGTCTCAGAAAGTGAAATATTCCTATGACGGCCACTAATTTGCAACATTCTCCACAGAGAGGTAACAAATCAGTGGCAGAAAAGGAAATCGTCACATCAGATAGACTCCAGCTGTCTCTGGTGGCCATAATTTTTCACCTTTCAGATTTAATTGTCTGCCTGCTTATTTCCACCCACATTTTTCAAATGTTGAAATGACAACATGCCAAGGAAAGAAAGCTGAGGGCTCTCATGTGGAACCAATTAAGCAAATAAACAATTACCCATAAAAATGAAAATGAGAGAAGAAGTGCCAGGCCTTGGATTGGATATTAGGGGAGTGCCATTCTGGGCCTTGTACAAGGGTGGGGACTGACCCCACTGGATTAGTGGGAGCTACACATGTCCAGCAATGCAAGCAACTTAATTATGAATTTAAAAAAAAACAGTAAAACTCAGCAAATTAGGAAAGCTATACTAATTCAGAAAACCCAACAAGGCAGTAGCAGGAGAAAAAAATCACAGAGTAGACAAAAAGAGGAAAACAAAAAGAGATCCAAGGTGCAAAAAGGCGGTGCAGTGGATAGAGCCAGCCCTGGAGTCAGGAGGACCTGACTTCAAATCCAGCCTCAGACACTTGCCACTCTCTAATCGTGTGACCCTGGGCAAGTAACTTACCCAGATTGCCTTGCTGAGGAGGGAGGGGGACAGGTGCAACCTCAGTGGCATCTTCACCACTTGCTCTAATCTGCCTTTCAGCCTCATTATATACAGCTCCCACAAATTCTGTGGGGCCTCCAAACAGGCCTTCTTGCTAGTCCTCACAAAAGACCCTTCAGGTCTCCCATCTCTGCACAAGCCTTCACGTGGACAGTATGCTGGCCTGGAATGCACTCTGTCCTCTCTACTTCCAAAAGCCCCTTCCTCATCAAACCCTTCCTGGCCTCTCTCCTTCCTAAAGTGCTAATGCCTCCCAGGAATCTGCTTTGTATATACTTTGTATGAACCTCTAAGTGGGCACAGTCATGCCCCCTGCTAGAATGGAAGCTCTTGGAAGGCAGGGACTGTTTAACTTCTGGCTTTGTATTCCCGAGATCTAGGTTAGTGCCTGGCATGTATTAAACGCCCTTAATACACTGCTCACTGATTGATCACTGAGCCTCACTTCCTCACTCTCACTCCCTGAGTCCAAAGCTTCTTAGCTCACGTCAGGCCACAGACATCTCCTCTCCACCTATGTAGTCATCATCATGGCTCACACCTTCTCCCCCTCTAGCCTGGACAATTACAATAGCTTCTTAATTGGACACAGCCTCCAAGCCATCCCACAATCAGCCGCCAAACAGATTTCTCCAGAGACGAGTCGGACCATGCCATGCCTACAGTGATACAGAATAGACCTGAGATTTCACTGATATAGAGACCTCCCAGATGAGGCCCTTCTATCTACCTGTGCAGGTCATCACCTTCTCTATCACTTGGAGTCTTAGGGAGCTACCTACACCCCTTACATGATGGTTTAGATCTGATTCTCTTAGTCACTGAGGAAAATCCAGTGGCTCCCTCCTTCCTTCAAAAGCAAATGTGGAATTTTATCTTTGGTATCTAGAGCCCTTCACAAGCTGGCCCCAGCCTCCTTTTCCAGCCATATTAAAGAGCATCGCCCTTCATGTACACTACAGCCTAGCCACACTGGACATGAAGAAAGCCAGACTCAGAGAGAAGAAATAACTTTTTCCAAGGTCACATTGGCAGTAAATGACAAGGCTAGTCTTCTGACTCAAAATCTAGCACCCTTCTCCAAGACAGTGCCATGATGAATCCAGCACCCTTCTCCAAGACAATGCCATGATGAATCTAGCACCCTTCTCCAAGACAATGCCATGATGAATCTAGCACCCTTCTCCAAGACAATGCCATGATGAATCTAGCACCCTTCTCCAAGACAATGCCATGATGAATCTAGCACCCTTCTCCAAGACAATGCCATGATGAATCTAGCACCCTTCTCCAAGACCATGTTGTAATGAATTTAGCACCCTTCTCTAAGACTATGCCATGACAAATCTAGTACCCTTCTCTAAGACTATACCATAATTTTATTTTTTCTTTACCAGCTCACACTCCTTAGAGTAGAATCCATCATATCCCCAGGAAACCTTGAAATTAGTAAACTTATCACCCTATGAGACTGTATCAGCTTTGATACACACACCTCAGCAGTTCCCTCTGACTCTCTGATGGATGGCAGGAAGGCAGCCCAAAGAACTCCCTTAAAAGCCTCCATCTCAAAAAGACTCCCAGTCCAGCCCCATCTTCATTTCCTATGGCTACAGCCCTTGGACTGGACTCCATCAGGCCCTCCACAGCCCTTCTTTAGCTTCTTTTTGTGCATCATCTTCCCCTCTTAGATTACAAGTGCCTTGAAGGAAAGGATTTCTTTCTTTTTCATACTTGTATCCTCCATGCTTAGCACAGTGCCTGGCACATAGCAGGTGATTAATAAATGCTTATGGAGTGATTGCCACCGAATAGACCCATTCTGTGGTTGGGTCCTACAAATGTTATAAAGTCTTTTCCTATATTGACCTGGGATCAGTTCCAGTAGAACATCCACTAGTAGCACTCACTCCCCCTTCTTGAATTACACAAAATAAATCTACATGACAGACCTTCAAATATCAGCAGATGTTGGTCACAGTCTGCCCCCCCCACCAGAGCCAGGAAAGTTTTATATTGAACTGTTACTATTTTCAAAGGTGAAGAAGTTTGTACCTTCAAAAATCTGGAAGACCTTATTATACCTTACCGTCTTTAAATGAGACTTCTTGGTTATTTTCAGCAGGATCTGGTCCTGTCTTCTCTTCTCTTCCCACCCCTTCTTCAATGCACTCTTCAACTTTCTTGTCATCTTCTGGAGCCGAACAAGTTGTTGGCATTGGCCCCACATTCTCCACTTCTTCATTAAAATTTTCCCTCGATTTGCTGAACTCTTCTTCTTTGACAGGGTCTTCATTGACCTCCATCATCTCTTTCTCTTTTTTTGGAGGTGGCAATGGCTTTTTATCAAGTCCCATTGAAATGATGCACCTTGAAAGAGGAACAGAAAGCCCACTGTGACATTGAGACCCAACACTAGGGATCCCCAATGTTTGCTTCTTTATTCAGTCACTTTCCCTTATTATATATTAGGAAGGTGTCAAAGAAAGCTTTTTTAAAAAAAAATGGATTAGCAGATTTATTTTTTTTTGGGGGGGGGGGTTAAGTGACTTGCCCAGGGTCACACAGCTGGAAAGTATTATGTGTCTGAGGTCGGATTTTGAACTCAGGACCTCCTGAATCCAGGGCCGGTGCTCTATCCACTGTGCCACCTAGCTGCCCCGGATTAGCAGATTCAAACTGACACAGGAAGACATGGCCAATGAGGAGTTTGTTTTGCTTGACTAGGTATATATGTGACAAGGTTTGGAGATAAGAAGAGGACATTATTTCTTTTTTATTAGAGAAATAAAATTTAATTTAAAAATGAACTTTCAAATATCAGTGCTAGAAACATATGTTAATAACTTCTAAATGACCAAATTATCTTATAAAAGAACAGAGAATTTTTCAAAACAACGTTGGCGTATAGAACCACAGGTGTAGATCTGAATGGGACCATGGAAACCAACAAGTCCAACGCTATCATTTTACCCATAGGGAAACTAAGGTCCAAAGAGATTAAATGACTCACCCAAAGGCCACCCAGTTAGGAAGTGCCTGAGGCAGGATTCAAACTCAGGTCCTCATGACTACAAGTCTAACACCCTAATCATTATGCACCCAACCGCTGAGTCACAGATTCCAACAAATGATATTGTTCGGAGTTGGAAAGCACTGTGCAATCTCTGCTGCCACTACACATCCCATTTCCCAGAAGCAGTGAAAGGATTGTGCACAATCACAGAGCGAGTGAGGGTTGAGCCGGGAGAGCAGAAGCCCTCGGGGAACCAGCTTCCCCGTCTCTATGAGACTGTCTCCATGGCAACACAGAAAAGCCAGGTGTGCCTAAGCTTTGGGATTGCATTCCTCAGGTGGCTCTCATCCCATCACCACTGATCAGAAGAGTCCCCGTGGGCTTGGGCATGACAGTCGCAGAGAGCTGAGGGGTCTGGTTACCCGGTGGCTTTCTGATTACCTGACACTTCTTTCTGTTTTGTTCTTCCGTGCTGAACGCGTCCTTTGGAAAGTAATACAATCGCTAAGAGCAGGAAGTAGCTTGAGCTCTTTGGCACAAAGGAGGGTTTGGGCAGGGATTCTCTGCCAACAAAGGAAGCAGCTCTGGTGGCCCTGACAATACCCCCTCATATTAAATTGTGTAAACAAACCCCCTGACAACAGAGTAACTACGTCCTAACCCTAGACCTGAGGCTCATCACTGACCCAGACACATATGCAGTGACGGCCACAAGGCCGGCAGTGCGAGGCATGTCTGGTATTTAGTGCTCTCTCCCAGAAGCTTTTTCTTCATCCTCATCTTACCGGATGACGACACCTACCTGTAGGGAAGCTGCATCACATCTAGTAGGTAACAATGAATAACATCCCAAAAGGATCAGAATCATAATATTATACTTAAAAATAGCCTGTGAGACCCACGTTCTGAGAGGCAGCGTGGTGTTGCCTGCATGGCGAATTCAGAACTGGATCTGGAATCAAAACACTGGGGGCTAAATGATCACTCCCGTGCTAACTAATTAGTTGCGTGGCCTTCGACAAGGGCCACCTCCGAGCCTCAGAAGCCTCACCTGAACGGTGATCAAATGGCCTTAATCATCGTTAAGGTCCCATCCGGCTCTCAAGTTCGGATCCTATTATTCTATAAGCTAACTGGGAAGCAGGTTGGCTCAGGGAAAAGCCTGGAGATGGAGCTGAAAGACACAGGTTCAAGTCTCTAATCTGCCCCCACGTAACTTCAGGACCTCAGGTGTCTCTGGTGGGCTTTGAGGATGGGAAGATCCCTTCTCCCTCCTGATAAATGGGTTCCATATCACTCCTAGCTCCCACTCTACAGATCTGAAATCACCCGTCTGCCTGTTTCCTAGTTTATTCACTCCCTGTGGGAGCAGGATGTCTACACATCAGGGAAGTCATCTCATAACCGATAATGGAACGTGAGAGCCCATTAGGCAGATATCACTTACCCTCTTAACCTGCGTCTCTAAAGTGGGACTAACCTGATTTTCTCCCTCTATGCCTCATCAAGGTTCTTGTGAATGGATATAATGTTATGTGCTCAGTGCACTGGGTTCCTTGGAAGCAAAAAGGTCATGGACTTCAGGCAAATTATGAATCTGCACTGCCTCTTCACAAGGAGCACAGACAACTAGAGCTGGAATAAGGGAGATTAGAGACAGTGGGTGCAACTCCCCATTTTACAGGGGAGGGGGCAACCTTAGGCTAAGAGAAGAAGAGACTTGGCCAAGGTCTCACTGCCAGAGAGGAACATTCTGTCAGCATCCTTCCCTCTGCAAGGTAGCCACCACATATTCCTGCTCCAAGCCTCGTGTCGGGACAGCAGAGGGCTCAGCTTCCTCCCAATTTCATACACTCCACACACAGACTCTTTAGTGCCCATCTGTTTGAGGGAATTGGGCACACGGAGTGGGCACACAGACTGTGCTTCAGTCTGGCCAGCTACGATCCTGCTTCAGGGCACACTTTAAGGTGCTGATGTGGGTTTCTAAAGCTGGAAATGAGCTGCATTCTAGTTGGTTTTGTAATGAATTTCCTTCCCAGATTTCTCAACAGGTTCTTAAAACAACTGGTGCCTGACTGACGAACAGCATGAGACACAGGACTGGACTTTGGAGCTGAGGAAGACCTGGGTTCAAATCCTGCCATCAGAAGCTCATTAGCTGAGTGACCCTGGGAAATTCTGAACTTGGGCTTCAGCCTCAGATTTGTCCTCTGGAACATTCCTGGAGTACTGATTCCACAGAGTTGTTGGGAGGAAAAATTCAGATAATAAATACCAAGTACTTTGCATAACTACTTCAGGTGACTCGAAGCCTGGAAGACCTAGGGTTGAGACACGCTTTTGGTTCATAGGCCTGCGTGACCTGGACCTATCACCCAACCTTGCTCAGAATGAGCTTCCTCCTCTGTACAATGGGGATACAAGCTACTCACCTCACCAGGCTGTTGTGAGGATCAAAGGAGAGGGCGTATTCAGTCAACAAACACTTACCGTGCAGAGCATTCTACAACATTAGTTTGTCATGTCAAAGCCAGTGATTTATCATCAAGAAAGTGAATGCTGGCCATTTGGACAGTGACAACTAAGAGCCCAGAGACAAAACTCAGAATGAGCGTTACGGACACGTCCTGTTTTCAAACTCTGTACGTAAGACAAAGGAGGGAGGGATAGGTAACACAGTGGATGACAGAGTAGTGGTTTACAAAGAAAGGTTTTGACACCCTACAACATCAGGTTGAATCCAATGTCAAAATATTGTCAGTATTCATTTGAAGCCTTGCACTTGCATTCATTTGAAACATCACCTTCATGAATGCAAGATGAGGAGACATGGGAAAGTATAATGTTTGAAAAAAAATTGAGGGTTTTTGTCTGTTTTCTTTTGTAGACTACAAGAAAAGTGGGGCTTTGAAATAAGGAGGGGCATCCTCTACAGTCTTTTTCATACTTGGTCCAACCATGTTCGATTTCTAGTGTTTGGTTCTGAGAATCTCAGCTTTAGAAAGACATTGATAAGTTATAGAATGTCCAGAAGAGGACAGCCAGGATGGTGAAAGACTGAGATCGTGGCATATAGGGCTGAAGGAACTAGGAGTATTTATCAGTTTGAAGGGAAGACTTTGAGGAGATACACAAACTCTTTGCAAGTAAGGATCATTCTACTCTTTTATTTGTATCCTTAAAACCTCCAACAGTATGTAGATCACAGTAGGCACCCAATAAATACTGACTTATTGATCTTCAAGAATGGTATGGATTATCCCATAGAAGCTAGTCAACAAGCATTACTAAGACATGCTAGGCACTGCCTTAGGCCCTGGGGATACCACGGAAATCAAACACCAGTCTCTGCTCTCAAGGAGCTCAAAGTCAAATGGCAGAGAGCCTAGATACAGAAGAGGGAATAGATGAGTTACACATTCCTCTTGGCTGCAGGAGACAGAACTAGGGTCAGCTGACATGTTGCAAAGAGGCAAACTTTGCTTGATGTCAAGGAAGAGACTTCCCAACAAGTCAAGCTACCCAGGAGACAGATGGGCCATCTTGGGAGATGGGGGGATGTGCTCCCCTTTACAGAACATTGCAGACACAGGGAATGTGGCCACTTGTTGGGCATGGTAGAGAGGGGCTTCATTCAGGATGGGCTGGCCTAGAGACGGTCTCTGAACTTCCTTTAAAATCTGAGATTTTGATTCTGTGCGTCTGTATGCAACATGGTGTATGTAGGGTAACTTCTAAACCATCATGTTTCTACTCATTAACAACCTTATAAATAAAATTTGACTCTCCCAAGGACAACAGTGTTGGATGCACCATAACCTTCAGAACCCTGACCTTGCCACGCACTCACTGCTTCACCTCAAGGGTTTCTGGACCTTTCCATGAGCCCGAGAGCTGCGTGTCTCCCAGTGAGACACAGGAGCTCCTTGAGAAGAGGGACAGCCTGCTGCTTGTGCCAGTATCTCAGCACGTAACAGTGCTGTGTTTCACCCATCTGTCCATTCATTCACTCATTCGTTCATCTGCAACCTCTTCACTTGGAACCCCATGGACTGACATTTAGAATTTAAAACTGTGCTCAGGGTCAATACAGCCTGCCACTTTTGAGCTGCCAAAATTATGTGGTGTATCATCCTGTTGGCTCCTGCAGAGTGTAGAGAATAAGGGTGTCTGCCCAGATCACCAGGCCACAGAGCCAGGGCCGGAGATCCAAGCTTGAGCCCAGGGCTCCAAGACTCAGAGCAGCATTAAACACAGGCAACATCAACACATGTGATGACTCTCCCAGTCAGCCATGTTAGGGACTGGGTCTGTGATTTCATTTGTCCTAAGAACTCCCGGGGGGGGGGGAATACTACCTCTACCACTGCAATTCAACCAATGTTCAGCAACTTAGAGTCTTGGCAAATTTAAAGGGGCCCCAAGAGCCCAGGTGATTTGCTGGGGTCACCACACTAGGATGGGTCAGGAGTAGAACTCCAGGTCGTAGGCTAACAGGCCAGAGACTCCAGAGGCCATCTTGTCTAAGCCTTCATTAAGTATTGGGGAGATTGTAGACCAGGGAGTACAATAGATCACAGAGTTATACAGTGGAAGGGACCTCAGGGTTCACTGAGTGGAACTCCTCCATTTATAGACAAGGTAACTTGTCCAATTGGCTTGACAAAGGCAGTAGAGTGTCAAAGGTGGCTAGACCTCGAACTCAGGTCTTAACTGAAAAGCTTGCCTTCCATCTAATCTAGTATACTGACTCTAAAGTACTCATTAAATTTAACAGAAGTTTCCAGGATAATTGGGGAGATATTCCTCTATCCTCCCTTTTCCCCCATCCCTTCAATCTTTTAAATATGGATTGGGAGTGGGAAGTAAGTCAGAGGAAAGAAAGCAGGAGAGTAGAACACCTTAATTCATGAGCCAACTCATATTACGTATGATCCATTCGAGTTCTACACTGCCAATCATGCGGACTTCGAGAAGTCACTGCCCCTCTCTGGAGTGTAAAGCAAGCCCAAACTATGAAAATCCAGACTGAGCCAACTTATACGATTGGGGCATTCACCTGCTTTAGGAAGGGGCTCTGGGCAGAATTCTTCTATTTTTATTTACAAGACCCAAGAGAAAATGCAAACACTACAAGAATTCAAAGGCAACAATATTAAAAGGCAGGTGAACTCAAATTAGCCGCAAGGAACACTCTTGATTCTGGACAGTAAAGGCTAAACCATGCCCTCCCCCACTGGGGCTCAAGAAAGAAGTACAGAGTGCTGCTTTCCTTCCTTCCTTGCTAATCATTCATTCATTCAGTCAGTCATCAAGCATTCCTTAAGTCCCTATGATGTATGTGACATTGTTAGGCACCAGAGACAGCATAAAGCAAACTCATCTCTGTCCTCAGTGAGCTCCCATTCCATTGGGGAAAAGAGCGTGCAAGCTAATAAGCGGACACCGAGCGGATACTAATTAAATCCAAAGCAATTCTGAGAAGCACTAGAACCTGGGGGAGGGGGCTGGGGTCGGCCTCGAGTAGCATGGAGCACCGGAGGGGAGCCCATGAATTCCAAGGGGGCACCGAGGGAGGGCATTTCAGGCACGGGCGCAGCGGAGGCAGGAGCTGGAATTTCCCAGTGAGGCAAGATGCAGAAGCTAGTTTTGCTTACGCCAAGTTTGTGGAGGAAATTAACAGGCAATGAGCCAAGGAGGGTGGGCTGCAGCTGGACTGCGCAGGGTCTTTGGGTTCCTGAATCCTTTCTTCAATTTGCTAAAAGGGAGGGCTCGGTGGCAGACGGGCTGGATGCATATTGTCGGTAATATGATTGATATAGGGATAACATATGTCATGTGTACCCATAAATCTGATGATGTAGAAAAGAGGGCATTGATACACATTGGGGCCAAACAACTCACTGGCAGGAAATGTCGCCCACTCCCTCCCCCGCCCCTCGACCTCTGTCTTCCATACTTGTAGCACGGAGAAGCTCCCTCGATGTCGACGAATCCAAAGTATCCGTTCTTGCCTCCGAGCCTGGACCCTCGGCGATGCTTAAACTCACAGCACGAGCTCAGCCTGTCCAGCTGCATCCCATTCAGGAAAAACGTGAGGCTGAAGGGGAAGCCATAATGTCGTTTGGAAACAAACCGAAACGTCTCTGAAAACAAGGATGAAAGACAGGAGTGAAGGAGCCCACGGGGGGCCTCCAGCTTGCCTTTCTGTCACAGGAATACCCCAGGGGACTCTGGAGCAGCCGGTCTTAGTTTATTTTTTAAATTCTCTATGGAATAATCATAGGCTCACAGAAGCTGGGTGGCACAGTGGATAGAGCAGCAGGCCTGGAGTTAGGAAGATCTGAGTTCAAATTTGACCTCAGACAATGACTAGCTGTGTGACCCTGGGCAAATCATTTCACCTTCTTTGCCTCAGTTTCCTCATCTGTAAAATGAGCTGGAGAAGGCAATGGGAAACCACTACAGTGTCTTTGCCAAGAAAACCCCAGGTGGAGGCACAGATAAAAGGACACAACTGAACCGTCTGAACAACAAGAATAATCAGAGGCCTAAGGAGCTTGAAGAACTTGCCTAGGACTCCACAGGCAGAAAGTAGCAAGGATTTGAACCCGGGACCTCTCCCTTCAAATGCAGCCTCCTTTCTACTGCACCCCAAGCCTGAGAAATCCTGTGCCGGACAAAGACTCTAGAAATCAGTGACTACTTACCAGACGAGGCTGAAACACATTTTTACACCATGCAGTTTTACCCTGATGGACAAAACAGGCATGAAAATGTTAGCTTCCATCTACTGTAGCACTCTCGGGTTTGGGTATTGAGGCAAGGGCTCGAGGGTCTGGAAGAGCTGGAGCCCTGCCCCAATACAAACAGGCTCCTTCACCCTTCCTCCCCCACTGCATGACTCTCCCACACAGTGAGGAGCTGGGCACCATTTGGGGGCTGCTCCATTTCCCAGGCCTTGGGTTCCAGGAAGGGTTTGAACCAAAGAGGGGTCAAGGGTGAGACATTGTGGGATCCCCGATCTTAGACTGGAAGGGAGTGAGCACAGATGGAGGAAGAGCCTTTCATTGGGCCACGTGGACATGGATAGGGTCCAAACCTGTGACTTCACTGGAACACGGAACTCCCAGGTGAGGAAATGCTCAGTACCAATGGCGGAAGGTGGTCAGAGCCTTCTTTGCACCCTGTCACCTTAGAGCTCCCCAGAACGCTGGCCAGTGAAGTGGTCAGGGTCAGGCTCATAGGCAGCAGGGACCCATGAGCCAAAAGGCCAGACGCAGACCTTGAGTCACTTCTCCAGTGAGTCCTGCTGTCCAGCCACACTCAGTCTGCTTCTCTCTCATTGACTCAGCTGTGACAATTCTCTCGCTGCAGTCCTATATCAACCACGAGGCTTTATGAAGCCCTACTAGATAGCGGGCACAGCGCTGAACAATGCCTGTTTCCCATGGGGGCGGGCTATCCCCACTGCCTCCAGTCTTGACCAGTCTGGCCTTTAAGTCTCTGTGGTCTAACTTCTGGTCCCTCTGTGTAGAAGCTGTCCTTCAAAATTCCCCTGCCATAGGAGAGGCTGTGGTCCCCTTTGGGAAGTACAGAAGAAAACACTGTGGTAGGGAGTACAGTCAGTGACAGGCCAAGTCCTGCCCTCTAGGAGTTTGCAATCTAAGTGAACGGGAAAACAACACATACATTAAGATGAAAAATGAGAGGGCGGCCAACAACATGCAGTGGTCCATAACTCACTGCTCAACTGCCTAATCCTGTACTCTAGATGGCCAGAGGGGCAGGATACCAGTGAAAACTAGAAGGCTGCAGGGAAGAGTCTACAGAGGAGACAGACCAGAATTGATCTCAGGCTTAATGGATGGAAGGTATTGATAAGCAGAAGGGGAAGGAGTAGACATTCCAAGCAAGAGGCACAGTCTAAGAAAAGTGAGAGGGATGGGCATATGAGGAGACACAAGAGACCAGAAGCATTTCCCAAAGTCACACAGAATTCAGAACTGGGAGGGAACTGCTGAGAGCTAGACATCTTAGTCCTCCAGTGGTCTACCAGCTACCTTTCCCATCATCTGAACCCCCCATCTAACACTGACTCTTTACCTTCCCCTCCCAACTTTACTTTCTTGTCAATCTGAAGTGACAGGAAGGAGCTGATCTGGTCTGAGGTGGAGGGCCAGGTGAGGAAGGTCAGGCAGAGGGTTCTGACTCTAGGCAGCAGGAACAGAGAGCTTCTGAAAGTTGCTGAGTGGCAGGCTGAGAGCTGTGTTCAAGGAAGGTTAGCCTCCTGAGTAATATGCTGTAATGTGGATTTGAGAGCTTGAGTCAGTCAGAGAGATTTGAGAGGCCAGGAGGCTGACTGGAGAGTGGGGGATGTGACCTAGGAAGTGAGGGCTCAACCACTAGGACAGAGAGTTGACCAGAGAGATTTGGAGGGGAAAATCCACAGGGTTGGGTGCCTGACTGGCTGTGGAGAATGAGTCATAACAGGCCACACCTGGAGCAGGAAGGGTCCTCCCAGGCTATCCATCCAACCCCTTCCTTTTACATAGGAGGCCACTGGAATTCAGGAAAGTTCGGGGACTTTCCCATGGTCAGCTCTGTAAGTGATGGAGGTGAAGGGAGAGTCACGCTCGTCTCCAAGGTTCTTAGTCTGAGTGATAGGGGAAATGACGCTGGATTGACAGAGACAAGAAGGCTGGAAGGGGGAGCCCATGAGCGTGTGTGTGTGTGTGTGTGTGTGTGTGTGTGTGTGTGTGTGTGTGTACATGCATGCAAGTTGAGTTTCAGGCAAAATATTCAAGTCAAAAGTTGGAGAAATGGGACTTCAGCACAGGTGAAGGATGCCAGCAAGGCACTGGTATTAAGACAATAGCATCATAGACTCAGAGCTGAAAAGGAGATCTGAGGCCATCTATCTGATCCCCTCATTTTACAGACCAAGAAACTGAGGCCCAAAGAGGTGTCAGAGAGTCGGTAACTGGCAAAGCCAAGCTTTGTGTCCAGGAGGCAGCAGCCAAGATGGCAGAAGAGGAGGAGGCTATACAGCTCAGCTGTCCCCACAGCTTCTCCAACAAAGACCCAAGAAGAGGGCCAGACTGAAGGCGATCAGGAAATCCAGGGGGAAATGACAGTGGGTCACCCCAAAGGCAAGTGACCTGGGCAAGAGCTGAATGGGAACATGGTGGAATTGGGCTCTGAGCAGGGCATAGCTCCAATGGGGACAATGCCAGCCAGTGATTTCAGGACCAGCTTAGAAAAACCCAGCTGTTGGGGAGAGATTTTCCTGTGTCTCTGAATGGGGGTTCAAGATAAGAGAAGCAACATGTCTGTGGAATATCCGATGTCTGGGTCACAGGCATCCCTGTCTCATGAGGGTTTCACTTGTTCAAAGAATTAAAATAAAAAATGATGCAGTCATTTCAAGATTTTCAGAAAGGCTTTTGCAGCAGCCACACTGGGACAGGCTGGCCTGCCAATTCCTCTGACATCTTCCTCATTAGGTACTGAGGAACCGATCTGGACGGAGGGAAGGATAACGAGGACCAGCCTCTTGGGTGGGCTCCTTAAAGGCAAGAACTGGGTTACTTTTTCTATTTGTATCCTCAGTACTTAGCAAAGTGCGTGACACCTAGTCAGCTTTTAGGAAATGCTTTCTCATTCATTCATTCAATTAGATTACAAAAATACCAGTGGAGAATATCACTGACCTGGAAGGACAGTCCCCTAATGCAACCCTCACAGCACAGTTGAGGAAACAGAGACTCATGGGGGTTAAGGAGTTGGCCAAGATTGGGCAGCTTATTGGTGGTGGAGATGGGAAAAAAACCCTAATCTTTTCATTTTAAATCTTCCTCCTCTGCCATTTCCTATTTTTAAAATGACTCTCTACTTAACTTCTAAAAAATAGTTAATGACAGAGACTGCATAGGAGAAGTAATCAGCATGTGAGGAGTAATCACTCGAAAGGCCAGGAAGCAAAAACAAAAGGGTCGTGAACAATGATGGAAATAAAGGTATGTATTTTTTCATGGAAAAAAAAATGTACCCATCGTCTGACTGCGAAATTATCTTACTGTGATATCCCATTAAAGGAACAAGCCCATATTCAGCCGCGCCGGACTGGCCAAATGATGCGATGATGAGAAGACTTCGTTTTTAATGAAATGGACTGCGCAGAGCAGTGTGCCCTCTTCTCCGCAGGAGCGCTGAACGAACTGATCGCGCTTCACCGAATCGCTCTGCGTGCACTGGTGAAAAGGGCAGCGTCTTTTCAGCCCGGCTAAATTGCTCCGATGGCAGAACCCGGGGTCGGCTCTGGCATGTACAATTTTTCAATTCTGAACAATTACTTTTCTGGCAATCAAGGGGCCCTTGGAGGTAACATCATCAGGGGAGCAGGATACAATTACACACTTCTCTGTCCTTTGCCATTGTGTGAGTCTCTCTGCTAAGCCAAGGCAAGCAGCAGAGTCCAGGGATAGATCTGTATGCACCATGTCACAGAGCAAAGGACTCTTCTTTATTCTGTGACCTTAAGTCTGACTTCTGTCTCAGAGCCTAGGTACAGTATACAGGAGAATTAATTTAGCTAAACCTCAGGCCCTCCTCATTCATGGGTATGCATCAATGTTGTCTGTGGATTTTCCAGAAATCCCATGAACATTCTTCTGAATAAAACATTACCTGGCATGCAAGGCTGGCTTAATTGTATTAATTCCATTTTGAGCCTACAGACTGTTTTCAAAAAGTTTTTTAATAGAGGTACTTGGAATTACACTTTGTGTTTGCATAACAGGAAGCAGGTGTTGGGTGGCTTGGCACGCCCATACTACTCTTTGGGAGTGACTGGATATCCCAAGCAGAAGCCTTCAAAATGCAAGGGAGCGGACACTATCATCTCATTTGGACCTCATAACAAGTACAGAGACTAGGCAGGCACCACAGAGAGGGTTGCCACCACTTTGTGCACGAGGGAGCTCAGGCTTAGATAGGTAGAGGGATTGGACATGATCCCACAGCTAGTGTCAGCCGTAGGAGTTGAGCTCCTATAGATAAAAGCTCTCTGAGGGCAGGCACTGTTCCATTTTTCTCTCTAGATCCCCAGCCCATGATCTCACTGCTACAGGGAACTCCCAGGTGAGGGAACTTCTACCAATGAAAATTGGCAGCTTTTCTGTCACCTGGCACCTGAGAGGTTAGGTGGTTTACCCAGGACCACACAGCCAATGTTCTCTAGGGCAGGACTGGACACCCTCCCCAGGTCTTTTTGACTTTGAGGCTGCTTCTCTGCTCACTTTGCCCATATCTGGCACCTATAGAGGATGCTTAATAAGTGCCTGGTGACCAATTCCTGACTCCAAGTCAGCTCTGACCAGGATTGGACCCAAGACTGATGACAACAGGATTCCCAGTTCTACCCAAAGCTGGCAGAGTGACCCTGACAAAGTCACTGCCCCACCCTTCACTCCAGTTTGCTCAGATCCAAAATGAAAAGACTAGAAACATGATTGGTAGGCTCCTTTCAGCTCGAATTATCACTCTGGCACAATGAATTCTAATTCTAATATGTAATAGGATACAATTCATATTGAAAATCCATAAAAGTAGCTTTTTATTTGGCTGAATTTAAAAGGAAGTGCTTAGGGGTAGCTAGGTGGTGCAGTGGATAGAGTACCAGCCCTAGAGTCAGGAGGACCTGAGTTCAAATCCTGTAGGCTTTGTAGGCACCAAAATGTTGGCTTATTAACAGTCACACACATACACAACATACAGGAAGTGTAGGTGGTAGTTTTAGTTATGTTACTTCTATTAAAACAGAACCTAGCAGACAAGTCAGTTAAGCACCTTGGGCCTCAGTTTTCCTCATCTATAAAATGAGGAGATTAGATTAGGTATCCAACTCCAGATCTCTGACTTTATGGGGGAAAAGCCACTGAATTCAGGGCTTAGATGATAGGACCCTGGTTTCGGAGCTAGAAGGGACTGAGAAGTCATCTGGTCCAACCCACCCATCTAGCAGCTGTAAATACTGAGGCCTAAAGAGATTGAGTGAGTGCCCCAAGGTCACATAGGTGAGAGCAGGTGACAGAAGCAGAAGGCTCCTTGACTACCCATCCTATGTCCTTTCTCCTCAGCTGCTACATATTGATCTCAGAACCACAAGGGCCTCCACTGAGCCCTGCTCCTTCTTGATAAAGACTCCCCACTACTGACCAGCTGAAAGCAGGGGGGCCTTGAGGGAGAAGGAGCCCCCGACTTCACACTGTGGCCCATTTGGGTTTTGAACAACAATCGATAGGAGCTTTTTGTGACATCATGTCTAAATTTGCCACTTTCTTCTCACATTTAACCCAAAGTTACAAACTCAATCCATTTCACTGTTAATTTTCTCCTTCTATTTTTTGTCGAGGAAAAGCCAGGATGGCTGAAAGTAACAATTTTCCCTACTTCTTTCCTGCCCCACCATTACATGAAGAATGTCAGAGCAGAAGAAAAATTTCTATTTGAACGAATATCTGGAAACAAGTCCTTAAAGATGACATTTCTTTCTAGACATATTTTTCCACATAAGCTATTAAAACTCTAATGTCTGAGGGAAATAAAAGCACAGTTACAACTTTCCATTTCACTCCTGTTCCACATGGCTGGATACGTGAGAGGTCTGTGGTTCCATCAGCTCTGGGGAACTTCCAGTGTGAGAACTCCCTCTGTCAATAAAGACTGCGACCCATCTATGACTTAGCAGATAAGTGTTCATGCGTTGCCCAAGGCTCAGAAAGGTTAAAATACTTACCTATGCTCACATTCTGAACCAGGTGGGGTTTGAACACATATCTTTTTGTCTCCAAAGCCAATCTCCCTATTATAACATGTTAAAAACTCTAATGCACAGCTGAATATCAAAAGTCAGATACTGAGATTTGGTACGTGAAAAGTTGTATCAAAGAGCAAATGGTCTGGGGCTAATTCTCTAACCAAGTATGATGGACATATACAAGCAAGAAAACACGTTCGAGATCCCAGACTTGCCCACCACACTAGGGGTATGCTTCACAGTGACGTCCATAGGATTTGTGATTTGAGGTCAAGGCAGAATCTGTAGAGAGCAAACCATCCTCTGGTAGATTTCTCTCTGAATAAGTGATGACATAATTCACAATGGCAGCCCCACCAGGAAGGACAGCTTAGTCCTGCAACCTTTGGATAATCTCCTCGAATTCATCTGGTACCTGTTTAAATCATGCCCACCTCCTTTCTCACACAATCCATGAGAGTCATTGCCACCTTAATTCTACCCGCTAAGAAGCAGTAAATCTCTATTTGCGTTAGGGCAGGCAGTCTATAAATCCCAGGATACACTGTCAGAGCAGGGCTGGTAATTTTTGTCCATACCCTCACCTCTAGCCCCAATGTGAGAACTCTCCCTGGTGGGACTGATACCTTTTTCAAGGAGTCTGCCTTGGAAGACACAAAGGTTTTCTCCACCGCAGTGCTGCTGATAAATCTTGATCTCGTCTTTGTAATTTATGTCATCATGATTCAGGTGCACCCTCTTCCCCCAATAGATCATGGTGATGAAGGCGTTACTGTGCAAAGGAGATTTGTGATATCTTCCGGAATCCTGGAATGAATCGAGAAAGTGTCTGTTAACTAACCAACAAGACGGCGATAGCCCAACATCCTTGGTGGCAGACCCAAGAAAAGTTACTCTTTAATATACAATAAAATAAAGCAAAACCCACTTTTTGAGAAAAGCAATCTCTGTCTTTTAGGCAAGATGAACTCCTTTGAACAGCCATATCCAATCAATGATCCCTTGTGGGGTATGCTATAATGGGCTCCTTCAGTGCAGTGGTGGGCTAGATGTCCACTGACTCCCTTTTCCAACTTTCAAATTCGGTGATCCCAGGATCTAGGGAAGTCAGGAGAGGCCTCGGGAAGGAGGTACCTGATCCGGAGCTTTGACTTGACCCAAGGTTGCAAAGGATGGCAAGGAGGAAAGAGAGCATTCTCATTCCAGGCATGGAGGCCCATCTGTGCAAAGGCACTGAGGTGGTAAAGGGATATCATATACAGGTAATAACTGAAAGTAGGAGGTGCCAGCCACAAGAGATGGAGAGAATGATAAAGCAGGTCATGGTAGAGGTGCATCACTCAGGGGTCAATCCTGGAGGCACCGGTGGGTATGAATAGGCTGCCACATATGACACATAAGCAGAGAGGAAACAGATCAGAGTAAGCATGTGAGAAGCTACGGTGATCACACGACAAGAGGTCAGCATGATGGACAGCCCATCCCCATGCTCCCCTGGTAGCACCATACCACAAGGCAGGAAGGAAGCAAGCATCTGTTAAGCACTGACTGACTCTATGTTAACTGTGTGGCACAGATGTACAAGACACAAGGAGGGTAGTTTCTGTCCTTAAGAAGCTCATGTGCTAGTATGTGAAAATGGCATGTCAGGGGAGAGCTGGGAAAGGTGGGGACTGAATAAAAAACACTGCACAATTCGTAGTCATTCTCCACATTTATCCTGCCTAGACCTCTCCAGCACTGACTTATTCCCTCTGTCAGAATGGGAGCTCCTGGTGAGGGATCCTTCCACTGATGACATATGTACCCACAGGGCCTGGCCTCCAGCAGATGCTTCAGAAATACCCATGTGCTTGATTTCAAGACAAAAGGGAGGCCCCCGGTCTGCGGGCGGCCCACCCGTGATGAACTCATGGGACGATGGGAACTGCCAAAGTGCCCCAGGATGGGCAGCCATGGATGGCTTGGGATCTGCATTGGGATCTAAGCTGATGAGATCACAGGCCCTCCAGAGCACTTCAGTGTCTGAGGAGAGTTATTTCGTTCATCCACAAAAAAATTCTCGTTGGGTGTGCCCAGGGACCAGCAGCCATTAGAAGGGGCATAAGGGAATAAGCACTCCTTAACCACCTTCCATCTGCCAGGCACTAAACCAAGTGCTTTTACAAATCGTATCTCATTTGATCCTCCATAAGGAAGCTCAGCAGACTCAGATGATAGGCCTAAAGACATTTTCCTAAGCGTGATTCTGCCTACTTCATTTTTCATTAGTTCATTCATTCATATTAGAAGTGTGTGTTTGAATCCTGACACTGTGAAGAGAGCCACAAGGGTGTATATATGTGCATCAAGGGGAGATAGAAGGGACATGGATGACGAGAGGCAGTAAAACATGACCAGCTCCTAAATACGTATACACAGCTGTGCAGAGGAATGAGTCTAACCCACTTTATCTTAACAAATTGAAAAAAAAATGGGAAGAAATGGCTTCCTGTGCATCCCAGACTGCAAACACATTGAATATTTATTGGGACATGGCCCTTGTGCATTACTGATGCCTTGGGGGCGTTGCCTCCAAAGATCCCACAAAACCTCAGCAACCTTTGGAAAGGGTCACCAATGGCAAATCTTCCCACCCCAATCCCAGCTTTCCATCTCTGAGGATTCTTCCTTTAGAACTCTTCACCTCTCTAAGACAAAGTCAGGGAAAAATCAATGGGACCTGAAACCTAGCACACACAAGGGCTGAAAACTGTAACCAGGAGCACAGTCCACAGCCTAAAACTTAATAAAACTGGCCTGCCTGGAGACTCACACAGAACCTGAACAGAGGACTGATCATCAGAGTAAACTACCAGACAGGACAGATCAGGCCTCTCCTGAAACACAGAGAACTTCTGAAAATAAGCATCTCTACTGTTGGCAAAGGCCTCATCCAGTGTTCTGGCTATCTGTCACCTTTGCTGGAGTGTTTTTGTGTGTGAGTGTAGGAAGAGAGAGGGGGCCAGGAAGAGGGAGGAGGCGGGGGCACCCATGCAAACAAAGAGCATTAAGTTGGCCTAATGAAAGTCTAGTCTAAAACTGCTAGAAGAACATTAGCATCTAGAGACCACCAATGTAAGCTGTTCATTTACAGATGAGGAAACTGAGGACAGGGAGATTAAGTGGGTCTGGCCCATGGTCAAGCAGGTAGTGAGTCCTCTGCCACCAAGTCCACCATTTTTTCCAAAGCAACATGTCATCTCCTATTAAAATAGATACTCAATAAACATTTATTAAGCACCTTTAAGTGCCATTAACTGTATGTTGGGCAGTGGGCTGAGTGCAAGGTAAAAACATGGTTCTTGCCCTCAAGAAGCTGACAGCGGAAGGAAGGAGACCACGTGCAAACAAGATACATACAGCACGAATTGGAGGGGATCCAAATAGAAGTAACTTAGCGGTGTGAGTGAGAGGAATCAGGGAGCTGTGAGTTGAGACAATGTGGGGAAATGGACCTTGTACAGAACATGATTTGTCCACCCCTTTTTTAGAAGAATAATTCTCTACCTTTTGGACACGAGTCGCGTGAATAGCCCCATCTGGCAGCCCTGTAAGTCCTTGAAAAGAGCTGCCTCATCCTTCTGGCTGCAGAGCCAGACACTGGACAGTTGAGAAAATGGTGTGGGATTTTGGAGTTGGAAGGAACCCTAGAGAACCTATCGGGCCTCCCTCTCATTCACTGATAGGAAACAAGAGTGAAAATGACACACATACACAGACCGCTTAGATCACTGCAGCAGAGCTGGGACAGAAAGCCGCCTTCACAGTCCTTTGGCTCCACGTGACATTCTTTCCACCATACCACAGAGAGGCACAAAATCCCAGGAAACATCCATAACACTTGCTTCATGCAGGAATAATGACCAAAAACACAGTCAAAGCCTGGTTGGCCTCCTCATTCACTTGCACTAAATGAGATGCCAATTGGCATGACAGCTCTCCCAATAGGATGACAATAACTAGACAAGACAAATTTAAAACCGAACCTTGCAGGGTCATTCCTGAAATCAGACCTAGTATGAGCAGCCCCAGATCTCGGACGGGAGGGTCCTGAGCCTTGGGCTATAACCAGTCACTAAGGAGGCACAAAAAGGCTCCACAGAAGAAGCTTTCTCTAGCTCCACATACTTAGTGATGCTTTAAAGTTCAGTTCTTACATGTGCACCATATCTGGGCCACCTAGTCCAAAGTTCCTAAAAATATTCTATATGTCACAGCACAGGGTAAAGCATAGAGATCATTGGACTTGTAGTCAGAAACTCTTGGGTTTAAATTTCACCTCTGACATAGGGACGTTCCTTAATAACTGATTCCATTTTCTTATCTGTAAAATAAGAGTAATAATATCTTTCTCACACACCTTATAGGGTTGTTGTAATGATCAAGTCAAATAACACACATAAAATGTCTTGTAAACTCCAAAGCACCATGTAAATAATAGCTGGTTGTAGTTGTAGAGGAGGTGAGGAGACGAGTGAGGAAGGAGAAAAAGGAAGAGAAGGAGGAAAGGGAAAAGAAGGCAAAGGAGGAAGAAGAAGACAATCGAAGAAAAAAGAGGAGAGAGGGAGGAAAAGAAGGATGAGGAAGAAAAAGAGAAGGGGAAGAAAAAAGGCCAAAGAGGAGGAGGAAAAGTGGAGAAAATATGGACGATGAGGATGACAAAGTGAAGGGGAGGAAAAGAAGGACGAGAAGGAAGAGAAAGAGAAGGGAAGAAGAGAAAGAAAAGGATGCAAGAGGAAGAGGAAGAAGAGAGAAAAAGATGGAGGAGAAAAAGGGACAAGAGAAGGAGCAGGAAAAAGATGGGGAGAAAAAGGAGGAGGCCATTAGTCAACTCTCTGCTTAAAGCATATGTCTAATCAACTGAACCACTATGAAAATTTGGGGACTTTCTTCTTCTCTAGTTTTCTTTCATTGGACTCTCAGCAGCAATTTCTGTTTATTTAGTAAGTAAAGTTATAGTTCTTATTCTTACTCCTTTTCAATTTAACATACAATTAAATTGAGAGAGAAGGTCATTTCACTTCCTACAGACTATGCCTATTAGAAGTTTACCTGGATCTTAAATTCATTCCCGCCACAGTATTTTAATGGACCAAGTCTAACAAAATGTAATTAATGCCTCCGGAGAACAGACTCTTCATAATGAGGGTCATACTTGGCTTTGCTTCATTAAAAACAAACTTCCATGTTTGACTCAAAGGCAGCAGAAGCTTCTGACGCCATACTAAGGTATAAGTCAATCAAAGGAGTGGTTAATTTGGAAGTGGGGCTGGATTACTGGGTGGTTTTGATCACAATTCTCTTCCTGAATACGTTGAATTGGCAATGAAAGTGGACTTCTCACAGCCTGGATTTCTGTTGCAATGGAGTCAGCACTTACATTTAGAAAATTTATTCCATGTCTTTGCACTGGCCACTCTGCATATCATTACCCCAATTTTCTCCCTGTGCCCTTGAAAAAGCTAGCTCTCTGCCCTGTAAATCCACCAACAAATGGGTTCAGTAATTACCCTGTGAGGCTCCGGGATGTTTGGGGCTGTGGTTGGACGGACTCGTCTCCTCCATGCCTGGATGCGACTTCTGTTGATTATCTTCTCATTTCTTGGGGACGGTGGTGGAGGCACGGGCACCAAATACTCATTAATAATGGGCAGCTGATATGGAGCCACTCCGTGGGAATGCTCTGAAGGGTTCCTGTACCTTTCACCCTGGAATCATACGTCCTAACATTAGAATTCATTTAATAAAGGAGAAAAAAGCCACCCGGACTGAACCAGTTCACACAAATCAGCATATTCAAGATTTAGAAATCATTCTGATATTCTAACTGGAGTGCTGGCACAAAGTTTTGGGCACCATCATTGCCCCTTACTTTCTATGTGACCTTGAAGAAGTCCATGTCTCTGAATCTCATATGTGTCCAATGTCAGATGAGCAAACAGTGCTCACACACCTGTACCTCCCCTGCCCGGAACACAGGTCACTGGGATTCTACGTGCTCTCATTTAGTCAGTGCAGCTGTTGATCGTACCCATCACTCATCAGAATTCCTGAACCCAGCATCTCTCCTTCTCAATATAAATGAAAGCATGGGAGAAAAGCCAGGGTCCACACTTTCTTGGCAACATGGAAACCCAGAACTTCTTGGGACATAAAGACAGGGGAGCAGCCCAGCCGAGGGCATTTAATAGCGGGGAAAATTAAGATTTCTGATTCCCAACTCATCTACGTGGCCCTGCAGCCAATGCTTGACCCATCTGTGTCCACATTTCACTGTGCAGCCACTCCCCCAGGGCAGACGCATACCTGCGTTAGCCAATCCAGGAGGTATGGATCACTACTGCACTGGAGTTCATGGGGGCCTGTTCCCTGGAGGGTCAAACACAGACTACCTCCTGGTTTTGACATTCCAAGCCCCCCCCCAACCTGGTTCCAGACTATCTCACCAGCCTTGTTATACAAACAAAACCCTTCCCCACAGTCTTCAGCCCAGTCAGAACAGCTTCTTGTTATTTCTCAGCCCTCACAGGCCATCTCTTAACACTATGATTTTGCACAATCTGTGCCTAAGACCCACAATTCCTTGCCCTAAGAATCCCTCCTTTCCTTCAAAGCTCAGTTTGAATGACCACCCCTACATGAAGCCTTTCCTGATCCCCTCAGCTGTTGGCACTTCTGTTCCCTTTAGAATTTACCTTGTATTTATTTTGAACATGGAAAGGCAACCTGAGAGAGACTGTCTGATGGCAGATTTGAACCCAGGTCTTCTAGGTTCCAGGACTGGTGCTCTTCACTGCCCCACCAGCTGACCAGGCTCATTGAGCTCATGAGTGTCAGAGGTAGGATTTCAACCCCAGTCTTCCTGACTCCAAGCCTGGCCATCTATTAAACTTCAAGTTACTATACAAATGGAAATTATTAGGAACAGTGCCCCATGTAGTAAGTGCTTAATAAATGCTTGCTGGGGGACTGCCTGGGACAATGAATGACAATGACCAATGCTTCCATATCACTGCACATCAGCTCATCTGGACACTTGAATGCTTGGCTTCTGCCCATAAAGAGAGAAGAGCAATAGTCTGACATTAATTAAGATCCTAATGAAATTCCTCCTGTCAGCTGTGGGTCATTTGTTTGTTTGGATTTAACAGCCCCTAGATGTAACTGAATCTCCAGCAGTGTGCATTTCCTCGAAGGGACCCAAACCCACCCAATCCCTCCAGTCCCAGGCGACAAGCATTCACTTGTACTTATCCCACACAATGGCTGTCATCATCGTGCATCTGTCTTTCACAACAGAATGCCATCACTAACCAAGGCGCTAATTGTTCTTCCCTGTTTAGGGAACTTTACTTCACGGTTCTCTGACCTTCTCTTAAATTATCAGAACATTGTTATCACATCTACGAAAATAGGTGACCCACACCTAAACCATAACTTCAGAAAGGCGACAAGATCAAAGAGCTGGGGGTGATTCACTGAGCACTCAGCTAACAGGAAGATCCTTACCCCTTCTTCACTGTTCACCCTTCTTAGAAGTCAAGCCCCAAGCAATGTCATACATTGATGGGAAGCAAGATGACGTGCAAATTGCATCTACTTCAGGCTTTTCATTTCCTTGCTTTCGTGAATCCCCCTCCCTCTGGGGTTGTTCCTCCCTGATGCTGAGCCCAGTAAAGGGGTTTTTTGTCTGTAGAGCTAGAGAGCGGGCAGTCACAGGCAATCACAGCAAATACTGCCCAACTCCAGGTCAAGGAGAGGGATGCCAGTGGTCATGGCAGAGGCAGCTTGTGCCTTGCTAGGCTGCACATGCATCCACTCCTCCTGCCCTGTGACGGCTGCCTGCAGCTACCGGAGCTCAGATGGCTCTGTCAGAGGCAGGACAATAGGGAATGAGATCAACTACCATCATCTGGCTGGGGAAGGGGGAATGGTTCTGTCTTCTCTTGAGCCCAGCCAGGTCCCAAGAGCAACCACCCCGCGCCCCCCCCCCCGCCATGAGCCCCAGGTCCAGAATTCCTCTAGAGTTTACTAAAGGCTGGTCCCGCTGGAGATCTAAGTCAAACACATCTTTTTTACATATCTCTGCTGTTTGCAAGCTGCCACATCCACAGGGGAATAAACAGACACGGACTGGCCACATCTGGCGCCCCTGGGTCCAGATCGATGAATGCGCGGGTCTCGCCAGATTTTAACACACACGGTATGCTAATAATCACGTAATGTTTAACTTGTCGGCTCTAAGAGTGAAAACTGCAAGGCATTATCCCAACATGTTCTTCTGTTTCTATGGAGAGTCGACTCCTTCTGCTGAGGTGACCTGTCTAGGGAACACAACTGACCCTGTTCTGAATGAATCCACACATCTACATGCCCCACCAAGACAATATGGAGCTGATTTACAGAGAGAGAGGAGAGACAGAGAGAGACAGACACAGAGACACGGACAGAGAGAGAGAGAGAGAGAGAGAGAGATGTGCACTCTTAAAACCCGAGAGGGGCTCAGCACATACTGGGCACTTCTGCCCAGCAGGGAATGGGCAAATTGCCAAGATGGAAGTAAGATGCTCCAGACCCAAATGAGATGAGTTCAATGAGATCAGAAGGGTGGACATCAATGCCTCTGGTGGTTAAAAATTTAACATTTGGAAACAGCAGAAATCTCTTGATTAAGAGATTCTTTTTTACTTTTGGTTTAGTCTTTCAAATGGCCCTCTCCCTATTTTTGGACAGACCTCAGGACTCTGTCCTAGGACTTCACTTCTCTCTCTATCTCTTTCTTTCTGTCTCTGTCTCTCTACCTGTATCTCTGTGTGTGTGTGTGTGTCTCTCTCTCTCTCTCTCTCTCTCTCTCTCTCTCTCTCTCTCTCCTCTCTCTCTCTCTCTCTCTCTCTGTCTCTCTCTCTCTCTCCAGCAGTAGCTTCCTAATTGGTCTGTCTGCATCCAGGCTTTTGCCCTTTCCAATCCATCTTCCACAGAGCTGGCACCCAATTAATATTACCCAAACCCCACCGTGAGCTTGTCACTCTGCTGCTCAGGAAGATTCAGTGCGCTTCTATTTCCTTTAGGATAAAATGCAGATGCCTCATTACCCACTTCATGCTTTCCACAGCCCGTCTCCCAAGCACCTTTCCAGCTTCCTGCACCTTCCTGACCCTTCAGACACGCTGTTCTCCAGGCAAGCTAGACCGCCTATCGCTCCCCTTCCACAACATTCTGTCTGCACGCTCCGCTCCTTCGCACAGTGCTTCCCATAACCATGCAGCCCCTTCTCACGTGCACCTCTGGGAACCTCAGCCTCCCCTTTCTCAGCTCAAGATGAGCTCCTGCAAGAGACCCCTTGGATTCCCCCTTACGGAGCGTCCCACCCAAATAACCTGTACATATTTTGTGTGTCTGTTATTTTTATCTGTGGGCAAGCTGAACCACCACCCCATCACCATCAACCACCACCCAACCGAGACTGGAAGCCCCTTAAGGGCAGGAACAAGTCAGCAAGACCTGGCTTTGAATCCTGCCTCAGACACTCAAGTGTCTGTCCTTGGGAAAACCTTCCCTTTGCCTTCTCTCACTCATTTTGCTCATCTGTGAAATGAGGACAAGAATAGCTACTGCTCCACAGGGCTCTTGTGAGGAAGGTATGAGGTACTGTCCATAAAGCACTTGAGAAAATCTTTAAAAAGCTCTGCTGATGTTAGTTATGAGCCTCATCATCCTACTGCGAGGCACCTCGCTCAGGAACTGGCACACAGTGGGTACGTCACAAATGCATATCGGACTGAAGTGCAAAGAGTTAATTTTCAATAACCCAGAAGTAATAGGATTTCCATTCCTGGGGAGCTTGACTGATACAAAATCAAATGTAGATGAACCTTGTTATTTCACATAGGTTTCTAAGACTCTGCAATGCTTTCCAACGCATTAGGAAACATTCCTCAAAGAAGCGCCTCACCCCATTGGGAAATCGACCCTCCATCTCCGTCACGGACGGCTTTAACTTGGACGCTGACGCTGGCTTGAGCGCCGCTCCTGCTGCCGGATGACTGAGGAGTGGCTGCAGCCGAGGTGGCCGTTGCTGCATGTTTGCTGGGGCAGTGCTGGGTCTTCCTGGGGCAGTATTTGGCCGAGGGAAAGCCTAAACAATTAGGGTGAAAATGCAGCTTAAATTAGGATCTAGATACAGTTCCAAAACCAATTAACAGCCCGACAAATTGCCTAGAGTAATTAAAGTTGGGGGGTTTTAACCGAACAGATTAAACTTTAATTATGTTTCCATTATACCCCCTTGTGACCCAAAGTATTTGTTCAGAGTCGCTGCTGCCATCCTCTGCATACGCAGATGCAGCAATTGCAAAGGACTCTGAACAATGGGGTTGCTCTCTGGTACTTTTCTGGTATTTTTATTCATCCTGTAAACCCAGCGACAAAATCTAATCTTGGCTGGGAACGGGATGGCTGACAGCCGTGCTCAGTAAACACAGAAGAGCAAGATGTTCGTATTTTGGAGCCCAAAGGGACCGTCCAGGAATTCATCCTTTCCTGCTAAAATGTCATCAACTTAAAGGATTCCAGTGGATCCTCGAGATCATAAATCAACCCAGGACTAGAGGCATGCCAGAGTCTGTGTCTACACCAAAGATGAGTCTGACGTTCTGTGATGTGCCTGACCAGCGGTCACCGAGCTTTGGGGGAGAGGCTGTCTAGGAGCAGAAGTGCGGAACCCAGCCCTCCGCCTCCGACAGCCTTTCTCAAGGTCTTGAAGAGAATCGGTACTGTAATAACCCATGCCCTATGTCCTCTCTTCTGCCTAAACTTCTTCAATCCTTTCCCATGAGTCTACCCAGCCCCTTCCTGAGAAGAGTGGAGCTCCAAAAGAATGCCATCTCTGCCTTCTCCGAGTCTGTTGAACTGAGCTGACTTCAAGAATCAAGGGTTATCTTTGAAATCTAAAAGTACAAGTGAACTACATGGATGCTCATAAGACTCAAGTCAATGGACATTTACATTTAGCATGCAGGCTAACTGCCCTCTCTGAAGCAGGTCACACAGGTGACCACAGTCACAGGGATGACACATTGAACCCTAAGAGCCTCTGCTTGCCAGGGCTGCTAAGAGGACCCAATGAGATGCTGTCTCTAAAGTGCTTAGCACAGTTCCTGGCACACAGTACGCACTATACAGATGCTACCTACTGCTACTACTACTACTACTACTACTACTACTGCTGCTACTACTACTACTACTACCACCACCACTAGTATTGTATGATTAATTAGCACAGTGCCTGGCACACAGTAGGCACGATATAGATGCTATGTATTGCTACTAGTACTACTACTACTATGCAGCGTCTGACATGCAGTAGGCACTACAGAAATGCTAATTATCATTATTGTTATTACAGTGCCTGGCACATAGTAGGTTTTATACAAATACTAGCTATCATCATCATTTTTTATTGTTAATTAACATAGTGCCTGACACATTTGATCAGTCATTCAGTCGACTCTTCATGACCCTATGGACCACATCATGTCAATACTATCCAGTCTCTTGACAAAGATACTGGAGTGGTTTGTCATTTCCTTCTCCAGTTCATCTTACAGATAAGGAAACTGAGGCAAACAGGGTGAAGGGACTTGCCAGATTTGAGGTCAGGTCTTTCTGACTCCAGGCCCAATATTCCATCTAGTGCTCAACCTAGCTTCCCCCACTGACAGATCATAGGTGCTACACAAATTCTAGATATTATCATTGTTATTTGAACAGTGCCTCACACATAACACACATAAACATAAGCATAATACACACATAAACACTAGATATCATTACCATCATCATCATTATCATTAGCCCAATGCCCACAACATCATAGGGACTATGTAAATGTTATTACTATGATGGTTGTTGCTGTTATCGACATTTTCTTAGAAACCTTCATCCAAGACAACCCTCACTTCAGAAGGGGGATAATGCTTCCTTCTCACCTCTCCTTCCAGAGGTAGCTGTTCCCCGGGGTGCAACAAGGCATACTTTTTCATATCTTACCAGTATGAAGCCTTGTTTGAATGTACCTGTTACAAGAGAGGATCCCTGGGAGCAGCGGGGAGGAGAGACATCTCCAAGTGATGATAATGCTAAAAACATAGATCTCTATCTATACACATACATATATACACATACATACATACATACACATATACACATGTATAAACATATATACGAAAGAAAATATTCTCTATACATAATAAATATACATATATATAAAGGGGAGATATCTCCAAGTGATGGTAATGTTAAATATATATTATATATATATATATATATAAATACATAATGCATGTATAGTATATATATGTATATATGTATGTGTGTATATATGTGTATGTGTGTGTATGTGTGTATATATATATTCTTATATATACATACATACATATATACATATACATACATACATATATATACATATATATGTATATATGTACATACATATGAAAGAAAATAATTCAGGGGCTGACACCCTTTTCTGAGAAGTATGCTGCACAGTAGGGAACCGTCGTGTTGACTCTTTTAGGTGTCATCAGTGTGGGTGGGTAGATGGGCAGATCACTGAATGAAGCCACATGCAGGGGTAGGACGCGTGACATAGCACCCAGGTGCCTCTTTCAGAAGTGTGGTGGCCATGCCTGGTGATTCACACAAGTGATCTAGGTGATACAGCGGATAGAGAGCTGAGCCTGGAGTCAGGAAGTACCAAGTTCAAATTCAGCCTCAGATACTTACTAATTGGCTGACTTTTGGTAAATCAATTAATCTGTTTGCCTCACTGGAGGCCAAGGAACTCAAAAATCCTGTGATGGAGGCAAGCCAAGGAAATGACCTGCCCAGCTCTCCACACTGTCCACCTTTCAATTGTGTCTGGGGCTCCTTTGGAGGGATGGTGCTCAGATGCTGGGACAGACAAGATACTGACCTCAGCAAACAGAAGCGGCCAGAGCCCCCAACTGTGAGCAGAGCAGCATGGTGCGTCTCCGTCTGAAGCCACCTATGGACTGCTACATTTGGAAGTCTCCCTCCCTATTCTCTTGGCACAAACAAGGGACGGACAGCCCAGCAACCCTGGAGAAACTGCTAATAGACATGACCTGAAGGAGACAAGCTGGACATCCCCGAGCTCAGCTCAACATGGCAATTCTTAGTCTAAAGATCTGGGGGGACAAATTTTCCAAAACCACACTCAACTTTAATGGGAATCGTGCAGCTGAAACCTGACGTGCTGATGATCAGAAAGTTTAGAGGCAATTGGTAGCAAGCGTGATAACTCTGTGTTGTTGCTTTTTTTTTAACTTTTTTAATGGATTTTGCTTAACACAAAAAGTACCAAAATCGTATACAGGAGCATCGGATCACAGAGGTAGCTGGAAGGGACATGAGAGACCACACAGTTCATTCTATGTGGAAACTGAAGCCAGGAGAGTGTGACTCACCCAATGTCACAGAAGGAGTGAGAATTAGAGGAAGAATCGAACCCAAGATGACACAAAGTCTAAGGAATCAGGAGGTTGGGCTTAACTGACCAGCTGCTGTTACCCCAGCCAGGCCACATCTGCAAAGTTCTTGTGCCCTATTTTAGGATGGATATGGATGCACTGGAGACATCTAGAGCCCAAGGAGCTGAAGATCAAGCTGTATGAGATGGATTGGAGGAAGCTGGGGATGCTCGTCAAGGAGAAAGGAAGGCTCAGAGGAACAAGGAGGTTCCCTGAGGAATTAGAAGGACTAGGGAAACATGGATAAGACATTCTCTTTGTCCCCAGAGGACAGCACCAGCCCCACAGGGCATCAATAGGTGGTCAGTTAGTCACTCGATCAACCAGCATTATTAAGCACCACTATGTTTGAAGCACTCCGCTCAGCCCTGGAGATGCAAAGGAAGGTTAAAACAGTGCCTACCCACAGGGAGTTCACATTCGAATGACAGAGACAGCATGTTCACAGCTATGTATGTATAAGATCCATACAGAGTAGAAAAAAGATATCTCAGACAGGAAAGTACCAGTATGTGGGAGGGCCTTCTGCACAAGGGACTTAGGGTGCTATTTGAAGGAAGCCAGAGAAACTAAGAGGCTGAGGTGAGAAGGAACACCATTCCAGGCACAGGGGACAGCCAATGCAAAGGCAGGGAGGTGGGAGATAAGAGTGTCACATTTGAATGGCAAGGAGGTCACCGTAGAAGGATAACAGAATGCAGAGAGAGAAGTAAGATGCAATAAAACTGGAAAGGTGGGAGGGGCCAGGTGGACAGAATTTTCATTGCAAGTAGATTTTCAGTTGGCTCCTGGAGATAACAGACCCAATCTAGTTTACTGAGTGGGGTAGCAGTTGTGACATGAGCTGAAACACTCTCTTGGCGGCTAACTGGAAGAGCAATGGGAGGGGGAGATGCTGGAGGCAGGAGCCCCAGGCAGAAGGCTAATGCAACAGTCAGGGAAGAGGGCTGCACTCCAGGGACGCAGGCAGTAGGGTGGGGGCTGTGGGAGTAGAGAGGAGGTGTGGACATTACAAAGAGGCAGATTTCTAGATGACGTCATAAAGAATTTCTGAACTATTGAGCTCATCCTGGAGTGGAATGGGCTTCCTGCAAGAAATAACATGATCACCCTCACTGGAGTCATCAAGCAAATGTTGCTTTGATCACTGACTAGCTGTGTGATCCTGGGCATGTCATTTAACCCTGTGTGCCTCAGTTGCTTCATTTGTAAAATGAGCTGGAGAAGGAAATGGCAAACCACTCCAGTATCTTTGCCCAGAAAACCCCAAATGGGGCCACGCAGTGTAAGACGTGACTGAAATGACTGAGTAGCAACACGGGAATGTTACTGGAAGATTCACTATACAGGTACCAGGTGGGTGAGCTGGACTTCAAGCTTCCTTCTAACACTGAACTTCTGTGATGCTCTGAAACATACTTTTACATACTACACTATTTGTCGCAGTCATTGACACTTATATGGGGCTTTAAGATTTACAAAGCACTTTACTTAAAAAAATCTCATTTATCCTCAGAGTAACCCTTGTGTGGTAGGTACTATTGTTATCCCCATTTTACAGATGAGGAAAATAAAGCAGACCAAG